CACATGTGACGACCCCGGGCTGGACTCCGCTTCCTGCAAGGTGAAAGCCGATCCGGCGATCCACAGTGCAAAGTTGTTGTATTTCCTGCAACAACAATACAACAGCGAGAATAAAAGTCTTCTTTCTTTGCATGAACATTTGGGCGGCGTTATGCAAATCTTCCCACATCGTGACGTAAACATGTGGCGGCGTGTTAGAATGAGCTGTTTTAGGTAGGGGTGGCTGACTCTTAAATTTTATAAAGAATATCTCTTTGGATTTGAGACTTTAGTCTTTGCAACTTCACAGACCTTCTTTATGCACCAAGAGCTTGTAACACTCCAAAGAGAAAGGAAAAATTTAAATCGCATCATATGACCCCTTTAATAAAAAAACTTACACTGACAAGCTACGCAATATCGCGTTCATAATCAAATGCAACTCATCTGCAATTATGAACGCGATATTGCATAGTCAGTGAACTAAGGCTCTGTGTATCCATCTGAAAACACGTGATGGAGATTTACTATTAATCACAGAACCGGCTTTACTGACAATCACATGTGATTTATCGTGCAGCCCTAAGTTTGTTTGTTGATCACAAAGTACAAAGTAGATGAGGAAAACTAGGATGTCGGGTGTATGCAAAGCGCCGCCATTACTGTCTAGAGTGCGTGGAATGGCGCGCTGTGATTGGTTGTTACTGTTTACAGTGCGTGGAATGGTGCGCTGTGATTGGTTAAGCGGACATATCGCATTCTGCAGAGAAGGGAGACTGGCGTTTGTCGCGGTTTGGAAAGAAAGCGAGAAAACATGACATCATCACAATATGGTAAGGGGCGGAACATTTCCGTCACATGCTTGAGGTATTCGGCCAATCATAACGCACTGGATAGCTGGCCAATCACAGCACAACTCACTTTTCAGACCGATGAGCTTTGTAAAAGTCAACGCATTTCAGAAAGGCGGGGCATAGAGGTGAAACAATAATGTACAGTATGTGGGAAATAATGTGTTTTTTTAACACATTATAAATTAAACCGCATAAATACATTTCATTACACCAAATACACATAATAATGTTCTTTTTAGCAACATCATATGACCCCTTTAAATGATATTAAATGCATCTGGAAGGCAGCAGCCATCTTCCAGAAGATGAATAAAGTTGAATAATTACCATCCATTTACTTCAAGATCAAACTTTGCCTGTTCACCACCATCGTGATCCTGATGGCCATATACACCAATGAGAACTGGAAGGCATCAGCGAGTATCAACAAGAAGCTTGACATCTTCCAGTATTGAATCCTATACCAAATCCTAATAAATCCTAAAAAAATCTGATATTATGATCATATAACTAATGTAGAAGTACTTTGAAGTAATGGAACATGCCAATTCCACATGTTGCCCAAAGGAGACTCCAACTGGCTGTCCATGTTCTTTGAATGGAGAACAATTGGATCCCAAGGACAGCAATGACATGGTTATCTCCCCTTGCCGGACACCAATGAGGACGCCTATGGAGGGAAAAGTTTGTTCAAGACTTGAAGACACTCAACATCAAATGGGACAGTGCTGAGGAACTTGCCAAACACCAGAAATGCTGGACAGCACTTGCTGCTGGATATACTACATGTTACTGTATGTCTGTGATATGATACTTGAACACAACACAAGACGAGGTGTATATGTGAACTCACTTCAACTTTTACTTAACAGGATCACCACATGCAAAACAGGCATGAGCAAACAATCCTGCACGTGTTGAACAACAGACATACATAATAGAACAACGATGTCTGTCATGCTGATGATATACAACATTTCTTCCTCCCTCAAGAAAAGAAGTACATAAAATGTAGCACTTATTTCCAGTGAAGTCTTTGTGAACTCTATGCCATAACCAAGACTCTAAACAGTCTCTCTCAGTCTCTGTGGTGGTTTATGCACACGTGTTGGATAGCGTCTTTCCTCACAGGGTGCCCTCTCAGTGTCTGCTGAAACAGTACTGGTTTCAGAATGGGGTGTAGATGGTGGTGATACCGGTGGGTGGCGACAATGACTCTGGCCATTTATGCTTGAAGTGGATGATGGTAGCTCTACTTGAGAGACAGAAGAAACAGCAGGCTGAATTGAGAGCTCTTCTGCTCTTGTCAGTGCACTTTCCTTAGCTGGTCGACATGATGCCGCCATAGTTTACCACCCGACAGCTCAACCAGGTAAGTCAATGGTCCAGTTTGCTCCTTAACTGCAGCAATATCCCACTTGCAGTCTCCACTGTAGCTTCTTGCAAGCACAGTCTCTCCAACTGCAAAGCTCCGTGTGGCTCTGGCAGAGCTCCTCAGGCTTTGATTAATTTGCCTGTTTTGCACAGTTTGTTTGAGGTTCGGCAGTATCAGATCCAACCTAGAACGAAGTGGACGCCCCATGAACAATATAGCTGGAGTTTGGTTTGTAGTTGCATGGGTGGCATTTCTGTATGCGAACAGAAAGTTGGACAGCTTTTACTGGAGTGTACATTTCTCATGTGCCATTGCTTGGAGTCCTCACTTAAGGCTTTGTAGAAACCGCTCTGCTTGTCCATTAGTTGCTGGGTGCCATGGGGCAGACGTGACATGTCTGATGCCATTTCTGCGACGGAATGTCTGAAAATCAGAGGCAGTAAATTGTGGCCCGTTTGTCACTTACTAACTGATGAGGAACTCTAGTTCTGGCAAACAAGTTCCTCAGTACTGCAATGGTGCGTGCAGAAGTGGTGGTACTCATGATGAAAACCTCAGGCCATTTGGAACAGGCGTCAACTACCACCAGGAACGTTGCTCCCATGAATGGTCCTGCAAAATTGACATGTACCCCCTCCCATTGAGATGCTGGCCATTCCCAAGGGTGAAGTGGCGCATGTTCTGGCTCATTCTGTGTCATTTGGCAGCCAGGGCACTGCAGTGTCAGCCGCTCTATCTCTTGATCCATCCCTGGCCACCATACATAACTCCTGGCAAGTGCTTTCACCTTCACCACTCCTAGATGTCCCTTATGCAGCTCATCTAGGACACTAGATCTTAGTCTGGTGGGTATGATGGTTCGCAGCCCCCACAACACACACCCAGCATTTAGAGAGAGGTCATGACGTTTGATGACATTCTATGCGGGCAGCAGCGATTTGTGAAACAGTGGAGTCGCGCCATCTTTAAGCACAATTTTTCCTTTTATGGATTTAAGGGTGCCAATTTCGCTCTGAAATACGGGGGCAGCATCTCTCAAGATAATTTCCAGTTTTTCTTTAGTAGTTTGTGCAACAACAGGCAGTGACTTGAAGTTTTTGATCTCGTTCCAGCCCATCTGAAACATTCTTAACCACTCCCAACCCCACAATGGTGCACCTCCATTTGGTAGTACGTACAAGTTGAGAATTTCCTTCCGACCGCTATATTCTACTGTAACAGGCAGCACACCCAGTGGTCTCACTTTTTCACCAGTATATGTTTTGAGAACAATGGAAGATGGGTTTAGCTTCTCTTTGTTAAAAATGACCTTATAATCACTCTCAGACATAACTGAAACAGCTGAACCTGT